TTGTGGTATTTGATTCTTTGACGAACTTCTTGGTACAGATTTTGTTTTGTTTTGTTTTGTTTTAATTTAAAAGCAGCCACTTAGCCCCGTTGAATCCCTCTTACAAGCTTCATTGGGGATTATAGGAAGCTGAGGAAACCCTTACCCCCGCCCCATCCCCGACCCCGTCCCTCCCACCTGAAGAAAGGGGGAAGAGAGGGGATGTTGAGGGTGAAGGGGGAGGAGGCGGTGGAAGAAAGATTTCAGTTGTAGCAGCAATGTTCTCGTTAGATTATTGTTATTGCTATTTATGTTATTGTTATTATTATCACTGTCATTGTAATTATTATCATCATTTGTTGTTGTTATATTTACTTTTATCTTCATCATTATCACTGTCATTATTATTATTATTATGGGTATGGCTGATAGAATATATTTAATAAATATGTAATATAAAAGAAAAACGAGAAAATGAAAAAAAGTGTCAAGCAAAATCTAATGACGCATTGCAAAGAAAACAAAACAAAGAAAAAAAGACAGTTTCAGGACAAAAATCAATAAATTGGAAAATGAAAAGAATAGAAGAAACAGATAAGAGAAAGAGCGAGACATGCTTGTTGTAAGGACAGACGATTGGAAGATTAGGACGAGGAATGATGAGAGAAGGAAGAGGGAAATGGGGGGAATTAGTACAATTGCGGACAGAGAGAAGGGGACAGATGATGAAAGAAGGAAAGGGAAAAGGGGGGAAATTAGTATCGTGGAGGGAAATGGAAAGGGGATACATGATAAAAGGAGGAAGAGAAAAATGAAGGAAATTGATATAATGAAGGAAAGGGAACGGGGAGACATGATAAAAGAAGGAAAGGGTAAATGGAGGAAACTGATATAATGAAGGAAAGGGAAAGGGGGAGAAGTAGATAGAAGGGAGGGATGCGAAGGGGAGAGATGAGAGAATTCAGAGAGAGAGAGGAGAAAGAAGAAAAATAAGGCGAAGAAAGAGGGAAAGCCAAGGAAGAGGAGAAGCATTAGCTAGAGGAGAAAAGAAATAAGGAGGAAGATGAAGAAAATCAATAAGAGGAGAAGGAGGTAGAAGAAAAGGAGGACACGAAGGAGGTGGAGGAAGAGGAGAAGGAGGATGGGGAGGGGCGAGGGGGCGGCACACTCCGAGATGAATATAGGAAGACGGCAGCTGGGTACGGTCCTTCCCTCTTGGGGGTTGTACCTGGCTGGAAGGAGGCGGCGCCCCTTTGTCTCTGTCTCCTTCTTGCTATCTTTTTTTCTGTCTCTTTCTTTCTCTCTGTCTCTTTTTCTTGTTATCTTTTTTCTGTCTCTTCCTGTCTCCTCCTTTCTCCGTCTCTTTCTTGATATTTTTTGTTTGTCTCTCTCTCTCTCTCTCTCTCTCTCTCTCTCTCTCTCTCTCTCTCTCTCTCTCTCTCTCTCTATATATATATATATATATATATATATATATATATATATATATATATATATATATATATATATAATATATATATTCGTCTGTGTATCTATCTATCCGTCTATCTATCTTCGGTTGCTCGTTTTCATCCATTTTTGCTTTCTCCCCCTCTTCCTTTCACTTTAATTTCTTCCTCATCCTCATCCCTTATACCCTCCTCCTCCACCAACATCCCCACCATCACCATTACCACCGCCACCTCCTCTTTCCTCCTCCTCCTCCTCCTCTTCTTCTTCCTCCTCTCTTCTATGACCACCGCCTCTTCTTCTTCCTCCTTCTCCTCTTCTCCTCCTTCCTTCTCCTTTTCTCACTCTTCTCCTTCTCCTGCTCGTCTTCCTCCTTCTGCCTTCCTCCTTCCTCCTCCTCATCATTCATTATCGTCTCCTCCTCCTTTCTTCATCTTCCTCCTTCTCCTGCTTGTCCTCCCTCCACCACCACCACCTCCTTCTCCTCCTCCCCTCCCTCTTTCCCTTCTCCTCTTCTTCCCTCTTCCTTCTTCTATTGCTCGTCCTTCTCCACCACCACCACCTTCTTCTCCTCCTCCTCCCTCCTCCCCTCCTCCTCCTCCCCTCCCCTCCTCCTCCTCCCCTCCCCTCCCCTCCCCTCCCCTCCTCCCCTCCCCTCCCCCTCCCCTCTCCCCTCCCCTCCCCTCCCTCCCCTCCCCTTCCCCCCCTCCTGCCTCTGTGCGTACAAGCGCGAGAGCCGGCGAGGTGCCCGCGTAAGTACGCATCAAGTTTGTTCATTTACACGAGTTAATTAGAAAATATTTTATTCCGTTGTTACGCCTGGAACACAAACTTGAAACCCCTAATAACTCGTCTCTGGTTAATTACGACTTCCTTACCACAACTGCAATATTTACGCCCCTCCTCTTCCGCACCGCCTCCTCTCGCTCTCGCCTCCTTCTCATGCGCCGCTCTCTTCTCGCTCTCCCCACGCTACTCTTTCCCCAAGCACCTCCTCCTTCTTCGCACGCTCCTCCCTCTCGCTCTTCTCAATGCTCCTCCCTTCGGCTCCTCCGCTCCTCCCTGCTCCTACGCTCCTCTCTCTACCTTCGCCCCCCCCTCTCCGAAGCTTTCACCCTCTTCTCCATCCTCCCCTCTCACTACGTTCCTCTCTCTCCCTCTCCCTACGCCCCTCCCTCTCCCACGCCCCTCCCTCTCCCTCTGCCTCTTCCAACCTTCCACGCCCCTCTCTCTCCCCACGCTCTTCCCTCAGCCTCCTCCTCCTCCCATGCCCCGCTCTCACGCTCTACATGTTAGGCATATGGTTACACACAAAAAAAACATGAAATGTGCATACAAAGACACGAACATACACACACACACGCGCACACACACACACCACACACACACACACACACACACACCACACACACACACACACACACACCACACACCACACAACACACACACACCACACACACACACACACACCACACACACACACCACACCATCCATTCACGGCCCATGTCTATTACCTCTCGTTCGCCGTAACTGCTTTTCTTCCCCGTCTTTTTACCATCGGTACTGGCACGGACATCAGCGCGCTGTGACGTCACTAATGATGCCATAAATAACGAACATTCGTAAGACGCAGCAACGAACATGTCAGAGACGAAGCCTCACTTGCCTTGTTTTTCTTCCTTTATTATTTATTTATTTATTTACTTATTCAGTTATTTATTCATTTATTTATTGATTTTGTTATTTCTCCTTCTTTTTCTCTTACTCGATCTCTTCTTCGTTTTCTTAAGTTCATGTCCTTATCTTCTCCTGCTCTTATAACTCCATTTCCTCCTCCATCTCTCCTCCTCTTCTCCTCCTGGTCTTATCTTCTCCTCCTCCTCCTCTCCCTCCTCTTACTCCTCTACTCCTCCCTTCCCCTCCATCCCCATCCCCTCCTCATTCCTTCATCCTCCCCTTCCCTCCTCTCTATCTTCTCTTCCTCCTCCTTTCCCTCCTCTCCTTCCTCTTTACTCCTCTCCTCCACCATCCCTCCTCCATTCCTTCATCCTCCCCCATTCCCTTTATCTCTTCTCCTCCTCCTCCTCCTTTTCTCCTCTCCCTCCTCTTACTCTCCTCCTCCACCATCCCCTCCTCCAATTCCTTCATCCTCCTCCATTCCTTTATCTCTTCTCCTCTCCTCCTCCTCCTCTTTTCCTTCCTCTCCCTCCTCTTACTCCTCCTCCTCCACCATCCCCTCCTCCATTCCTTCATCCTCCCCCATTCCCTTTATCTCTTCCTCCTCCTCCTCCTCCTTTCCCTCCTCTCCCTCCTCTTACTCCTCCTCCACCATCCCCTTCTCCTTCATCCTCCCCCATTCCCTCTATCTCCTCCTCCTCCTCCTCCTCCCTCGATCCCTCCTCTTACTCCTCCTCCTCCACCATCCCCTCCTCCATTCCTTCATCCTCCCCTATCCCCCCTATCTCCTCCTCCTCCTCCTCCTCTTCCTCCTCCTCCTGTCCCTCCTCTCTGGCGGTGATGTAACGCACCGTTCAATGT